AGAAATTTCATCACAGGCCAGAATTTGGGAATGCAAATCTAATCGTTCACTACAAATTTCCATAAAAATATTTTTGTTTCTATCAGCACAATACCTGGCACTATTTATGCTTAACTAATATTTGTTGAGTGAATTGATCAATTACTCATTTACTTGTTGAAATCAATAGCCCATTAGCTAGAATTGGCTATTAGCTAGAATTGGGCATCCCTTTTATTAAGCAGAGATCTTTTTGTATTTGTTTTAAGAAAATACAGAACCCTGGCTGTTCAGAATCCTTAGTCAATCTTCCAAACCACTTTGAGAGAATAGCTACATATTCTTGGAATATGTGTAAGTAATGTCACTTTGCATGCATTTGCAGATAGAATTAAAGTATTAAAATAATTAGGATTACATCAAATACTAACATATGAAATGTATGCTTTGAAGGATTTGGAAATGGAGAACATTGTGATAAATCATGCTTTTTGTATTCTTCAGTGTTCTAAAAGTTATTGATCACTTCAGTTCCTCTACTTTATTGGTGCTAATATAGCACCATCAATCTGGGTTTGCTTTCAATTTCTTTTTATCCTCACCTGAGGATAAAAAGAAATTTTTATCATTACTTTTTTTCATTTTTCATTTTTTCATTACTTTTTTTCATTACTTTTTAGAGACAGAGTAAGGGTGAGAGGAAGGGAGAGAGAAACATCGATGTGAGAGAAGCATTGACTGGCTGCCTCCCATATGTGCCCAGGGATTGTATACACCCAGGCTGGAGACCAAACCTACAACCTAGGTATGTGTCCTGACCAGAAACTGAACCCACAACCTTTCATTTACAGGAGGAAGCTCCAACCGACTGAGCCACACCAGCGAGGGCTGGGTTTGCTTTTAAAGAAAACTGTCTTCAGATGCCAAAGTTTGAGAGTAAGTGTTTTTTTGTTTTTTGTTTTTTTGTTTTTGGGGTTTTTTTTTTAAGAAAACAACAAGGATATATTTTAAAGTATTTCTTTAACAATGTAACCTTCAGCCCTGGCTGGTGTGGTTCAATGGACTGAGTGCTAGCCTGTGAACCAAAGGGTCACCAGTTCAACTCCCAGTCAGGGCACATGCCTGGGTTGGGGGCCAGGTCCCCAGTAGGGGACGCCTGAGAGGCAACCACACACTGAAGTTTTTCTCCCTCTCCTTCTCCCTCCCTTCCTCTCTCTAAAAATAAATAAAACCTTAATTAAAAAAAACAATGTCACTTTCATTTACTTGTTTTATGACGTGTCTTCTGGAGTGGGAGAGAAAAGAGTGGAGTTAGACCTAGCACCAGGAATATGCAGCCTGGAGCACCTGTTCCTCAGTCTATAATCATGACCTGTGTATGACTATGTGAGCGTGCTGCTTGTAAGATGTCGTCAACTTGTGCATCTCAGTGAGAAAAGAGTGGGGGAAGCAATGAATTGAGTGAGAAAGGTAATGAAAAAACCTCTTGTTTTGTAAATAATACAACAGATAGAGAGACTAATCAAAGGTCAGCCAGCCATTTGGATAAAATGTTAGGCTAAGACCCCACTTGTCTACATGTTGCAGCACCTACATTTTCTTTATTATTCAGTTCACATAAAAAGTAAAAAGGGGGAAAAAGAATTGTACCTAATATTAACAATACAGAAAGTACACCTATATAATTAAAATAGAATTATAAACAAAAGTCCATCTTTTAATGCTAATAACTCTTTTAAATGCTGTTCTCGGGATTCCTGTTTGTAAATGTTCTAGTCAAACACAGGGATTTATTCATTCTCATATTAATATTTTAAAACTTTTATCACCATTATAAAACAAGTCCTTTTCTTCTAGCATGTACAATGATTTCACAGTTCATAGCTTCTACATTATGTGTTCCATTTCTTAATATTTAAAAAGTGCCAACGAGAAAGCAAAACCCACATAAACAAATCATTTTTTAAAAGATTTTATTTATTTACTTTTAGAGAGAGGGGAAAGGAGGGAGAAAAAGAGGAAGTGATACATCAATGCATGGTTGCCTGTCTCACACCCCCTACTGGAGACCTGGTCCACAACCCAGGCATGTGCCCTGCCTAAGAATTGAACCAGAGACCCTTTGATTTGCAGACAGGCACTCAATCTACTGAGCAACACTAGCCAGAGCTCATTTTTTATTACTATAAAAAATTCCTTCATAACTTTTCAAGGTTTTTTTTATTTTGTTATATTTATATAGTACAGTTGGTTTTGCTTTTCTTGACTTAAAATTGAAACTTTCTCACTGACTAGTCACTTAGCCTTCATTTGCCACTTTTTATTCTCAGCTTTGAAAGTTTCATCTGTAACCGCAGAGTTTATAGTAAATAGCTTCCTCACTAGATTGCTACAAGAGGAGCACCTGGCACACACACACCTCTGAAATAATACTACTATTTCTCCCTTAAGTAACATTCCCTATTGATTATTTGTTAATACTGTCACAGAACTCACAGAATTGAAACTCAATGCCTTAGAGACATTTTTATGGTAGATTTTCATTATTAAAAACATTCTTCACTTGACTTTTCTATGATACTACAAAGTATTATTTTCTTCCTCCCTTTCCAGAAATCGCTTCTCTGACTCTTTGATGCTTCCTTCTTATGTCCAAACTGTGAATATGCTCCAGAGCCAGTTCTCTGGTATTCTCCATATTTCTCACTATTTAATCTCTTTCTTACAGATCTCACCTATTCTCACAGCTTCAACCACCATTTCTTGACAGATAACTATAACATCTAGCTCTAACACTGAACTAAGCTTTAATGCTGTATCTTTAATATCTATTGGATAATAATATCAACTTGCATTTGCACACTATGTTCTAATTTACAAGGCACTTTCACATACATTGTCATAGTCTAATATACTTACGAGAAAGAATCTTTAGTCTGACTTAATATTGTTATTCAAATATTTTGCATGTGTACATCTTACTCTGATGATATTATCGCTAATGATAACTAATTTTAAGCATCTGCACAAAGTGACCGTGTATGTGTATATAATGCCATTTAATCCTCACATCAACCCTGAGCTAGGCATTAGTACAGTTTGCCCAATATTTCTGGCTCTCCGTTTTCCAAGCACATGGCAGGAATGCATTTCCCGGCCAGCTCACTGTGGTTGAGTGAGAGCGTGTCACCAGTTCTGGGCACTAAGTTGTGAATGGAGATGATAATGTGTGTCACTTCTAAGCCAGAGTACTTAAGATGCTGGTGTGAGATTCTCCAGGACTTCTTTTCCCATTCCAACAGTGTCCAGCAACGTTCCGTAATTAGATGGGGGCTGCTCCATTAGCCATGATCCTAGCATAAGGAGACATGGAGCAGAGTTTCCATCTAACAAACAATAAACACGGATTATAAGCAAGTGTTTTAAGCCAGTGGGATTTGGGGATTATGTGTTCTAGCAGAAACTAAAGTTCATAGAATAGCATGCTTGAGGTCTTTTGGCCCATAGATGATGGAGCTGGAATTTGAACTAAAGTCTATTTTAATCTCTTCTACTACATTAAAAATTCCTCAAGGGCAGGAATTCTTGTGTCCCAGATTGCTGTCCTTGTTTGGGAAAACAACAGGGTCTTAAATGATGAGAACACCAATGCCAAAGACAATGAGACCACTTGGGAAAGCCCAGAGTCTCTCATTAGTCATCCCTTCTATTCCTAAATATTCCTAAGAGACTCCTACCTTGGACCAAAGATGCAGTTCTCCTGTCATATTCAGACACTAAAGGTTAGGAGAGAACTACTTCACCTTCGATCACCTGAAGCTTACGGACTGACTGAAGCCCTTCAAGAACTAAGGTTCCACTCAGCTTTGTAAAACTGGCTGAGTCACGCCTGGTCACAATAAAATGACTGAACAGGAAGATTTCATTTCCTGAAGTGACTGAAAGCTCCCTGGAAACTAACCACGTTCACTGCATCTTTTCTTACTAATGGAGTCGGTCACTGCCCAGAAGCAGACCTTAGATATAAAGTGCCCTGCTTTTAATCAATGTTACAAAAAACTAGTCATTCATTATGTTGGTAGAAAAAATGTGTACCATTTCCAGTGACCCAGAGATCATGACCCTGGACTGAGAAGAAGGAACTATAGTAATAGTTCACTTTTTTGATCTTCAAGTAAACAATGTTTTAGAAACAACTTATAGACAAAACTTGGCTGTGGTTTCAGAACAGAATGTAAACATTAGTAAGTTCATAATTTAAAACAAAAAAAATGTACATAGCTAATACAATGTATAGAAGGCCAGAAGGAAAGTCAGAGGAAATGGTAAGAGTATCAGGACCCTTACCTTATAGAGTTAGGAGGTACTAACTAGAAAATTCTACTTGTCCTTTAGAATCTATTCTTCCTTCTTTGTCTTAGTAATAGGACCCTCTAAAATTTTAGCTGAACATCCAGCTACCTTTCTCAGCCTCCCTTGCTGTTTGGTGAACATTCTACAATAAGTCTGGTCAATGGAATATAAATTGATACAATGTGTGATCTTTCAGGTCACCTCCTTTAAAGACAGAGTCACTTGCTTTAAAGACTTCTTCCCCCTGGGAAACAGCAAGGCTGCGGCAGCACACTTGGGCCCTGGGGTGGAAGTTACTTGATGAGGAAGTCGGACTTAACAGATCATGAGGCAAAGCTATTTGCCAACCCAACCTTGGGCTTTTCCCTATCTTGGGCTGTTATGGTAGAGACAAACTGCTTTACTCTACTTGGAATCTCTTGTCACAACAGCATGGCATGTAGCCTAGCAAAAGCTGATGAACAAATATATGATCTAATGTTAAAAAAGTGAATGATACAGCAATTTAAAAATCAACAGAGCAGTAAACAATAGTAAACCGAACAGAGAACAGAAATCCTTACTTTTTATAACTAGATATTATCTGAAATTGATGAATTCAAAAGTAGTACTATAACTCTATGGACTAAAATTAGGGAACTACCAGAAGCATGATTTTAAAATATGACTTCAAAGGAGTGAGACAGAGATGGGAAAAGTGAAGCTGGATGGTGCTGCTTCTCATCTTAGGTTCCCCTGTACCAAGAACCCTGTGAAGGTTTTCAATTAAAACAAAGTTTATATGTGCAAAAAAGATGCAGTGCCACAACGGACCATTTCATCTAAAGAAATGCTAACACAGTCTGACTAAATCTTTGCATTGAACTATAACTACAATATCTATAGCATTAAAAATTATTTTAATGAGTTGAATGTAAGCCCTAAAACTATGTATACTTAAATCATGTTTCAAATATTTTAAATTAGAACTTTGCCAACCTTCCAGGAATATAAAATTTTAGCACTGAAACTACAAATAAATAATTGCCTTTGTATCAGAATTTTAGCATCCCTTCTTTCCAAGTTTATTTTCTGTCACAGAAAGATAATTATGCAATAAAATTCTCATGATGGTTTGCATTGTGGCTTGTATCTGACACAGCAGATAAAGGAGACATTTTATGACAATGGACTCCCTCTAGCCCACTGAAAGGCAAATGGCCTCTATCGACTGTCCTTTGATGCCACGTTGAACTTGGGAGGAAGGAAAAGCCCTGAACAAGGTCATAAAGTGAGAGAAATAAAATGTTTTGCAAAATATTCTTTCTACTTTGTTTTACAGTGGTTTTCTTTATTAATGTTAGGTGAATAAATCATGTTTTAAAGAGAACTTGGGTATTCCACATGTACTTCAAACTATTTATCATATCCAAACTGTTTGTTTCTTTCTACATCAATTTCTTATTTGTTCTTTATTCCTGGCCCCGTTAAAAAGTACTCCCAACCACCCAACCACTAAACCTCAAGCCTGGGAGATCCCTTTAATCATTTTCTATTTCAACCATTCATAGCCAATCAACACTGAGCGCTGTCCATTTCATTTCCAAGATATTGCTCAAACACATCCTTTTCATCATCTCTCATCTAGAATATAGTAATGGCCTCTTCCTTGTCTTCCTGCCTCTAGCCTGACCCCCCACACACCCATCCTCCACACTGCAGTTGTAACCCTGCTTCGCCTGCTTCCACAGCACACTAGCAACCACAAGGGAGATTCAGCCGATCTATGCTGGCATCAAGACCCATCAGGTTTGCTTCTTTTCCTACTTGTATAACATCAGTCCCCAATGGTCCCTGGTACATTATTTGCTTCATGAACTCTCTTGTTCTTTCCTTTACCTCTATTACCTCACACAGGGCCTAACCCTTAAGTAAGCACTCAATAAGCACTTGTTTAATAAATAAGTCAATATTCTGTTCTGATAGTAGCCAATTATTTATCATTTTCCACACACCATTTTTACCCTCACTATACCACCCATATACTCCATATTATATAACCTCTTCATTCTTAACCTTCAAGACCCAATTTAAATATCACCTCCTGTGGGAAACTTCTTCACAGCTAGCCCCCTCACACTTCACCCTACACCTTCCATTAGAAATGAGTCAGTTCTTCCTCTATACTACTTCCTACTTCAGTACCTCTATTATTATATCTACTACTGTATGTTAGATTTTTAGGTTTATATATTCCTCTTTTATAAACTCTTTCAGAGTAGTGACATTCACCTGCACAATAAAGGATCAACATGTTTTCACAGAACTGAACTCAATGTCACTCCCTGTTTCCCCCATCCCTGTGCATAATGTCCACTCCCACAGGACGAGAGTCCTGTAGTGTAGCTAGGCATGCAATATACAGGAAAGAGTCAGAACTGGGTTCAAATTCTAATTCCACTGCTTAACCAGCTGATAAATCTTAAGCTAATTAGCTACTTTCTCTGATAATCAGTTTCCTTGCCTGCATAATATAGATCCTAACACTTCATTAAGTTTGGGGAAAATTAAATGGGATAATGTTTTTGAAAGTAACCAGCAGACTCTTCAGCAAATTTACTTCTCTTACTGAGAAGAAAAAGCAGGAGGAGCTCTGAGATATCATGTAGAGAGAGAGACAGAAAATGAGAGAGGGAGTGTGTGTGTGCATGTGTGTGTGGTAGAGAGTTTAGTTCAGTTCAGATTTGAATAGGGTAAGGATGAAGTGACTGACTAACACAACAATTTTCAACTGGTATTCCATAGTACACTGGTGTGCCGCAAGAATTTTTAAAACACACAACACCTGACTGTTTACTCAGGGGGCACTAACCTCTTTTCCATTAGACTGTCAAATTAAAAAATGACAACAGCCAACACAACAATAGCCATCCGGTGTGAATGAATCAAAATTATACCTGTTTTTTGATGGATTGGTAAAAAATATATTTTTTGGTATGCCACAGAATTTTAGTAATTAGTTTATGTGTGCCATGGGATAAAAAAGGTTGAAAATCACTGGTCCAACAATAACTAAGATTAATTTAAGATTAATTTTTCTATTTCAGTAATTAGGTTTTAGTGACTGTCAATAAAATCATTATGTCTGACCAAAAAAAGGAACATTTCAAGTTTTGCAATGAACTGTTTCAATCACAGAGAGTGATCTAACCTCAGTGTGCATGAGGCAAATGTACTAAAAAAAAAGAAATTTGACAAACTTTTGGTCAATTCTAATTTGAACACCTCAAAAGAAGTTATAAAATTGTTGCCATTTGACTAAAACTGCCTATATCACTCACTCATTCAAAGATAAAACTAGTCTAGAACTTACAACTAACTTTGCAGCATGACCTTCAGAATTATCTACATTAGAGGTACTGAATTCCCAGTAGTCCCCTTCTGACTGACACTATTGTGTCATCTGAAAGTCAGTAAACTCCCCTGTTCCTTGGTTCTTCTTCCATATAGAACGCTAGCAACATTTTATATTCCATAATTAACTAGTATTTACATTCAGGTTATTCTAAAACCATTTCCTAGCCTCCTAATTATGCTTTCTTGGATTCCTCTTATCATTTAAATGTTGTTTTGCAAGGGAGGGTTAACAGTTATATAAGTCTGTGACTCCCTCAGCTAACCTCAGGAAATGTGCAGCTATACACACACTCCCTGCACACAGTCACACAAAGCCAGCACTCAAGGACAGGCTCTAGCCAAAGGACATTTAATCAAAATATCCCCAAGAATGGTGAAGTTAAGGTTTAAAATTATGGTGGTAATCACAGAATGCAGTAGATGTTATTATATAATTATATGAAAAAGATTTTAAAATCTTTAAAAGAGAACACATCATATAAAAATAACAATTCAACAATAATCATGTGGCTCCACAGGCCCCCTTTATGTAACAAAGGCAGGGGGAAAATAAAAGAATCCAAAATCCCCTCCTGCAAAGAAGAGTCTAGCATTATTGCATTTTGTTTTTTATTTGTTTTATTTTACTTTATTTTTTGAATTTAATAATTAGAAAAGTTCAGGATCAATGATAATTTTAAGCACTTTTTCCAGATCACAGGCCTAAAACACAACATCAACCTTTCATATCCCTGTAAAAGAAAAAAGCCAGTAAAACAGAAACCATATGGCCAAAGATTGAAAACCAAGGAGTATAAAGAGGATAAAACAAACAACAGGATGAAAAATATCATCAAACATATCCATGATAGCATAAAATATGATTTAAATGCACCTACTAAAAATTACTCTCATATAGAGCTACAAAACAAAGAAATAATGCAGAGGGGTCAAAAACCAGAAGCAGAGAGGAACAGAGACTACACACCTGAACACACACACATGTGCGCACACACACAAAGTTGGCAACGCAAAATAAATACCTTTTAAAAGAAAACCCAGTGAGAGTTCTCCCTCAATAAGAGTCCTAGCAGTTCCCATTGAAATGGTGACTAGAATATAAAAATACAGAAAAATCCCCATCAGCACTAGAAACTAAAATAGAAGAGAGGATGTATTGAAAAAAGGCCAACTCCCAACTCATCCCATGTGCCAACACTGCTCCTGCAAGTTAGTGAGAGAGATCCAGCCAATTCCTACTAGGATTCTAATTAGAAGCAGCCAAGGCCAGACAGCGTGCAAGTCACAAGTACAGGGAGCTTAGTAACTGGCACGGGGTATAACGGGACCCAACGGGTAACTCTGGAAGTTACCCTCTGGGGGTTGCATGGCAATACTCATGCCCAGAGTACCAAAGATTTGGGAAGCACTGCCATGTATGACTTCTCAAAAAAAACAGGCAAATCTGGAAAATGCTAGGGGCACTCCCCTACAAATTCCAGATGTCACTCAGATCAGAAAAAGAAACAACCCTTAGGTAACACCTGGTGATATAGCTAGGACCTCCAGCTCTGATGCTGCCCCTCCTCTCCAGCCTGAGGCCACTGGAGACTGAAAAGTTAAACTACAGTACACCTAAACTTCTCTCTTCTCCCCTTTATCACCCTGAAAGATTAAGACCTCCCAAACCTGGCAAATCCATGCTTCATTCATCTCCTACTCTATTTAACAAAGACATGCTGGGCAGAGTGAGAAACAAGATGCCATGGTCCCTGCCACCAAAAAGCTTACAGGTTAGTGAGAAAGATACTACCAACAAGTGCAATAAAGATCACAGAGAGGCCCCAGCTGGCATAGCTCAGTGGACTGAGCTTGGGCTGCAAACCAAAGTGTTGCAGGTTCAATTCCCAGTCAGGTTACATGCCTGGGATGCAGGCCATGACACCCAGCAACTGCACATTGATGTTTCTCTCTCTCTCTTTCTCCCTCCCTTCCCTCTCTAAAAATAAATAAATAAATAAATCTTAAAAAAAAGATCACAGAGAGACAAAGAAGTAAAGATCTTAGATAGCAGAGGAGTCCTCTAGTTTGGGAAGCATAAGAACATGTGCCTGGAGGTAGTATTTAACACTCAGACTAAGAATGAACTAATAATCTGTGTTGTCCTGATTAAGAATCAGGAAAAAAGTGCTCTAGACAAAGAACAACATGAGCAGTGGCCCTGAGATTAGAGTGAGTACAACCCCAGGAAGGTTACGAAAGAAGAGCAGCGTGGCTGAAGGTGTGAGGAGTAAAGCAGGGAGGCTGAGGAGGTAGGCAGAAGCAAAGCTTGTAAGCAAATACACAGTGGGGCAAAAGCA